CTTCCCCTCATCCTCACACCTGGCCCTTACCAGGTGACCATGGCACAGCACCTCCCAGTGTGAAGCCCAGCACTCCCCACTGGCTGGTCCTGGCGCACGTGGACACTCCGCCTTGGACCTCCACAGGATGTGCTCCCTCCCCGCTCCACACCTGCCGCTCCCTGACCACTGCCTGAGAACTGCAGCCCCAGCCAGAGAGCCGATTCCCTCCCGCTGGGTGGAGCCGCCCATTTTCTATCTTGTCTAGGTTTCTGCCCCCAGGGCCCGCATGCTTGGCTCTGAGAGATAATCAGTCTTTATTACAGCTGTCTTAAGAGCCACCACCCAGGTTCCTAGAGCAGCTCTAAGCACCACTGTCTTCCACCTCCCACCTGCCCAGGGCGCTCTGGGCAAGCCTGGGTCCAGCTCCTCCACCCTCTCGCCAGAATGTGGCAGGTGTGTGTGTGCCCAAGGACGACATCCTGGAAGGCTGCTCCTCAGCTGCAGCGGGGCTGGGACTGCACTGGCAGCCATGGATGCCCGAGGAGGCTGGTAGCTACTCAGTGGGCACCCTCAAGAGCTGGCTTGGGTGCTGCTGGAATCCCTGGACCCACCTTTCTCTACAGAGACCCCTGTGAGGGGGAAGGGCTGAGGTACAGCCAGCCCCATCACCAGCTGCTGGAGTCTAGATTGGCAGCCAAGGTTGCAACACAAAGCCTGCCCACCCCTAGCGGATGCCAAGTCCCTGCGGGTAGCATGGGACACACATGCCTGCACAGTTCCCCTTGCCCAGAACAAGATCCCACCAAATCCTCAAACAGCCGCCCACCAAGCACACACCTTCTACCACACCCATCCCAGACTCCCCCTACAAAACCAACTGGAGATGGGGTCTCTGGAATCACTGGCCCAGAGCGCTCCACCAGCCCAGCAGGCTGATGGGGATTCGGGCTGCCCACACAGGAGGCCAAGACTCAGGGAAAGGAAACACTGCTGACACCAAGTTGGCCCACCTGGGTGGGAACAGACCACCAGGTAACACCCAGTCCCAGTGGAGGCCAACCGCCTTTCCACCACCCTGCAGCTGCAGGCAGCCCAGGCGGAAGGCACTGGGGGCCAAGGTGGGGGCAGATCCCAAATTCCCAGCACCAGTCATCACAGCCTCAGGCGGAAGCTGGAGCAGCAGCCCCCACACGTCCCCATGGGACTTGGGGAGCCCTGTTTCCTGGTGCACACAGGGGCTCAGCGGGGGGTGGGGAGAGCAGGAGGTTCCGGCAGCATCTATCTGCCAATCATATTGGAGCATGACTTGAAACTGAGCCCGCACCTTAAAAGGGCAGAGGTGAGGTGAAGGGGTGCGCACTGCAGTTCCCCATTTGCACCTCTTGTGCAAGGCTCCGCCACAACTCCCCAGCCCCCACTTGCAGAGCCACAGAGGAAGTGGGAGTGCAAGGCGCCGAGCTGTTGCTACAGCCAGTGCAGCCTTGGGATTCAGGACGGTTGTCCCCCATGGCCAGGCCTGGGAAGCAGCTTCTGTGCCCGCTGCTCTGCCAGCCTTCCAGGCCTCCTAGGGCACTGGCACATGGTGATGGCTCTCGGGCCTCCTTGACACTGAGGAACCAGAGGAGGGGATTCTGGGGAGCCCCCTTCCAGCACTGTGCCCAACACTCTGGAAGGACAGGGTGGTGGGGGGCAAATGGACACAGGCTCGGTCTCCCCAGCTGGCTCCCAGCCCAGTCATGCCAGCCTGGAGCTGTTCTCCTTGTACTCTGCAAGGGTACCTCCCACACAGCCTGTGCCCAGGGCTGGAGTGGGGAGGAGGGAGGACAGGGGCCCAGGTCATTTCCTCCAGGGTTCCATGCCAGGAGTTTGGATCTGCAGGGTGGGCAGAGGGTAGGAGTGGAGAGTGAGGCATGCAGAAGTGACACAGTAGGAGCAGGATGGGGGACAAAGCTTGCTTTCTATGTGTGAACAGAAGTTCCCCAATGAGCAGAACCATTCCACAGCTGGATCATGCCTTCTCTCTTCATGCAGTCTTGGGGGACAGTTTCCAGGGACCACGCTGCCAGCTCCAGGGGTACGTGGATGGGGTTGCAGTACTGGGAGGAGGTGTTCAGTTGTTTTTTTTTTTCCTGACCAGGTTTGAGGGAGGCCCCAAGCTGGGGGAGAAGAGAGCCAGGTCCCATCTGGGATTCACAGTGGAAAGTTCACTTCCCCTCCAAAACCAGCCAAGCAGGTGCTGGGTCGACATTCCCCCCCACCTGGTACCATCCCCCAGGAAGGCGGACTGTAGTCCCGCCGGCCTGGCTTTGCTGAGCTTGTCTGAATCCAGAGGCCTGGCGGCTGCATTGGGCCCAAACCAAGCAGGAACTGCCTGTAAGGAGGCTACTCCGGGAAGTCCCCGCCCAGCTCAGAGGCTCCCAGGGAGCAAGTGCTTACTCAACTTCCTGTTGTGGCTTGGAACCCCCACCCCAAGGAAGGGGGGAGCAGCTCTGGCCACCCCCCCCAACCCTGCTCCTGAACCCTTCCAAGCCAGGCAAAGTGCAGAGACACCCGCAAGTCACCAGACAGCTGCCAGTTCAAGTCATCCAGATGAAAGCACAAGTTAAAAAATTAAACATAAAACTCAGTGCTGGTGGGGTTGTGGGGAAACCTCACAAACTTTGTGTTTTTTTTTTTTTTTTGGATGGCGTTCTTGCTCATAACAGCCTTCTTTATAAGAGGGCCAGGGTGGAAGGTTCCAGGCGGCTACTCCCTGCGATGAACACGCAGGATGAGAAAAGACCCGGTTCTCAAGTTACTTCCTAACCCAGACTCAGGCGAAAGCAAGGGGGGCTCCGCTTCACACAGCTTCCAAACGGCAATTCAGGGCTCGGCCCCCAACCCCAGGGGGTCAGGAGGTCAAGTCCAGCCGGGCAGCCACAGCGGCCTTCAGAATGGCAGCAACAATTAACAACACTACGACCCCTGACGTGACCGCGTTGGAGCCTCCCAAATGGCCAAGGCCCCCATTTTCCAGATGGGGAAGGTGAGGCCCACCGAGCGGGGCTGGCTTGGCCAAGGTGGACAACCAGTGAAGCAAGCAGCGGGCACTCCTTACCCGTGGTCCGCGAGACTTTCAATAGCATCGGGCGGGGTGGAGGGCACGCCTAACCTCTCCCGACCGCTGGCTCCTGCAGCCACCGACCCCGCGCGCCCGCCCCACCCGGCCGTGTCCTGCAGCCCCCTGCGCCGCGGGGAAGGGAAGGGTCAGCCTGGGGAGCCCCTCGGACCTGGCCCCTGCGGGCCACGGGCTCGGCTGCGCTGGGGCGGGGGCGCCAGCTCATTTCCCGGCCGCTGCAACCCGGAAGGCTCGAGGGATGGAGGGGAAGTGACTGGGCGTGGGGCCCGCCGGCCCGAAGTAACGGGGCCACCCCAGCGACGGCGTGGGGGTCGGGACGGGGGCGCGCGGCCGGGCAGCACAGACGGACCTGGGGGGCGCAGGGTCCCGCGCGCCCCTCGGCCGCCGCCACCGCCCGCGCCTCCTCCCTCCTCCGGGCCCGCAGCGCTTCCAGACGGCCCCGACCGCGCCTCCCGCCCCGCGCGCCCCAGCTGCGCGCGTTCCCCCGCCCCGGGGCGGCCCGAGCCCCCTCACCTCGGGGCGCCGCGGCCGCGGACTCTGGGCAGTCGACGCGCCGAGCCGGCTCTGCGCCCCGCGCGCCGCCGCGGCCACTTCCTCGTGGGCGGGGGGCGGGGCCTGGCGGGCCGAGCCCCGGGACCGGGGGCGGGAACCGGGGGCGGCGGGCGTCCGAGCCCAGGCCCGCCCAGCCGCCCGCCGTGGAGGGGCCTTCGCAGGGCGCCGCGCCGTCGGCCCGCGCGGCCTCCTGGACGGGCACGTCGAGGTGGGGATGGCCGCCCGCGCCCGGGACAGCGCAGGACCCCCGCCGCCTGCGTCCCCGCCCCTCCGCTCCGGCGCGGATTCCAGCGCCGGGTGTAGACGGCGCCGGCACCGCCCTCGTCGGCCCCGTGCTGTCCGCGGCCGGCCCGGGCGCGTTTTCTCCTGGCTAACTCCAGCTTTCTCCCCCTGCAGAGATCTGGGCTGCTTTACCGTTGCCCGAGTTTGAGTCTTGGGGCGCGGGTGCGTCCCCTGGGTCCGGCTGCCCCTGATATTGCCCTCACTGGAGAGGCGTGGCCAGGGGAAGGAGGGAAAGGCCCCAGACACCCAGCCTGCTAGGACCCCTTCACTGGGCCGTGGTGCTACAGGCTGTGGCCGCGTCCCTCAGCTCTCGTGGCCCCCTCCCCTGCAAAAGCCAGCCGCTGCCCCCTAACCCCTCTCGGTGCTGTGAGGTTCCCAGGAGCACCCTGCACCCCAGAGCGCTTCGGTGGTGAGTGCGCCTTGTGTCTAGGACCCGTAGCTAAGGCTTTCCAGGGCAAGTGATGGATTCTGGCACTGAGGGGGGGAGGTACTCTTAGCTAAGGCCCCCCACCTTGCTGCTCAGGCATTGTTCAGCATGATGATGGCTTCAGTTGAACCGGAAAGCAGTTTCTTTCTTTTTTTTTTTTTTTAAAGATTTATTTTTTATTATTTTTTTCATTGGAAAGGCGGATATACAGAGAGGAAGATCTTCCGTCCGATGATTCACTCCCCAAGTGAGCACAACGGGCCGATACTATGCCGATCCGAAGCCAGGAGCCTCTTCCGGGTCTCCCACGCGGGTGCAGGGTCCCAAAGCTTTGGGCCATCCTCGGCTGCTTTCCCAGGTCACAGGCAGGGAGCTGGAAGGGAAGCGGGGCTGCCGGGATTAGAACCGGCGCCCATATGGGATCCCGGGCGTGAGAGGCGAGGACCTTTAACCACTTGCGCCACCGCGCCGGGCCCTGTCCCGTCCAGCAGGACAGTCAACGGGGGTCGCAACCACCTAGGAGAGATTGGGGGACAAGAGACACGAAGAATGGACAGCAAGACAGGATGTCTGATCAAGCTGTCAGTTTATTGATTTTAGTTGAGGGTTTTTATATTCTTCAGTAACTAAGGCTCAGGGAGGAAAGGAGAAACTAGGACGCAAGCCATGGTCTCCAGACCGATTGTTCTTGAGCAGCCACCATATCCACAATAGTAACCAGCATATCAACAATAGCATAGGTAATCAGTAACAAGATGTCGGCAGGTACAACATAAATCACATTCTAAAACAGTTGCTACAAACAATTGAAGCTAAGCGTGTGATTAGTTTCATAACTTCTTTCCCAAGCATCTAGCCAGCCAGGGATTTTCCACTGGCCCATAGTTCTATATTCAAAATGGCTTCAGTGTGGCTATAGTACACGGCTCCTGACATCTCCCCCTCTTTTCTATATATCAATGAAAGCAGCGAAAAGAAAAAGGTTCCTTGAGGCAAGATAAGCACTGCCTGTCTTAGGCTCATTCTGAGGGACCCTCAACTCTTACCCGTCTTTGGGCAGCCCTGCCAGTCATCCAGGGCTCCCTGTCTTAGGTTGGCGGGGTATCAGAAAGATGCCCGTCATTGGCTAAATGCTTACCCAGGAAAAGCCATGCCTCATTATATTAGATGAGCCTCTTTGAAGACTGGAGCCGCACAGCACAATGTGGGGTGTTATCACTTGGGGAGCTTGAGCCATTGCAGTAACCGTCAAGGTTTTTTAAGGCCATAACCTCGCTGCATTTCTTGAACATGCAAGCTGCCAGCTTAATGCCATTTAGAATAACTTTCCCTGACATGGGTAGAACTCGGGTCTCATTTACTTTAATTATACTGGTGGCTAACTGACTGGTGAAATTTAGGAAGGCGTTAGACCATTGTCCCCAGAGGTATTGATTGATTTTTATCACTCTGGCCCAAATATTGTGAACTTTTACTGGGGTGACACATATATGATGGTATATTGGGGAGCAGCTGGCTGGTGAGATTCAAGAAGACATACTTAACAATGTACAAGTATTGTTGAAAATACTAACATTCCAGAATCACATAGTGCTAAGATGTTACATGTATACAAAACAGTTTTATCAGGAACCAGAGACCCTAACTGCCTATCATCCCATCTGACTCCTACATTTTCAAACAGAAATGAACCCCAATTGTTTTTAGGGAGAAGGGGCGTCGTCATCTGCTCTTAGCTACTTCCTGCTGAGAAGGGGGCGCCGTTGGGTAACATAGCTGTAGGGGGTCCATCTTGTGGTTCCTGATAGAAGGCAGAAGTCATCAGGTGTTTGATGTACATCCTGGCACTTGAAAAGTTTCTCTGTGTTGAAGTCTAAATAGCAAAACATAATATAGTTATAACTCTTCCCAGCCTAGCATGTTGTGAGTTCAGTTAGCAGTTTGAATATTTGAACATCAGAACTTAGATGTAAAAGAATTGTTAGGTTTCAACTTTTGTCAGAGTGAACATTAATTTAAGACTATGGACTAGATTTGTATCTGTCTAAATTAACTTCTTTAAGTCTCAAATTTTGGAACATACCCAATAAGCTTAATGGAACACATGAAACTTCTGAGCTGCATAAAACTGGTAACCTAGATTAATCAGAAGGCACAGTAACAATGCAAGGATTAGCATACAGCATCAGGATATAAGCCCATCACAGGACAGGTAAATGCAAACTGACTTCTTAGGGCAAAAGAGTTAAATATTCAGACATAACCAAAACTGAGATGATAAATCTTTATACTAAAATACAGCAAGGTGTACTATTAATTTTACTATGACTCTGAATATACAGCTCCTGCATTGGAAGACAGTGTACACAGTGACTCTAGTGGATTTAACAAATTAGCACTCTTATGTGTGACATCAGTGATCACCTGAGGTTCCAGACAAATGGTGTTTAGGCTGTGGAAGCCTCTTGAATCCACAACAACCCCATTAGACAAGACCACACACAAAGTGGAAGTTCTCTCCCCTATTGAGAGAAGAGCACAACCGTGCTTGATGGTTGCTTCTTTGCACTGGGGTGTGGACCACTGAGGTCCTTCAGGGAGGGACACTCTTAGCAGCAGTGTCCTGGCATTCCACACCTGATATGCTTGTTCTCTTGCTGGCTCTCCTGTCAGACCAGAATGCCTTTTGGGCTGATTCTGAGGCCACTGAGTGCTACTCAAAATTGTCAGTCTATGAGTCTGCTGTAGGAGCTGCTTCCCATGTTGGAGCATTTTAACATTCTCTGAGATCTGAGTTATCATTAAACACTTGCATACATATACTCATATATTTTCCATTTAACTTATGTGGATTTGGGCTCCCATGGCCAGTCTTGAAACTGTACCCTAGCAGTAAATGCATTTGAAATCATGTTAAACTATTGAGCTGAACAGATCTTGTAGATCCTGAGAAAACAATAATGGACATGACTCTCTAAGAGCCTAATTATGCATCTATACATTATTTTCAAAAAGGATTTAGCTTAGTAATTCTCATTCATAAACATACACATACATATCAGGTAACACACATAAAACAACAGCTTTTAAGAGCTACTTGAGAATTTTCTTAAGTATGTTAAAATTACCAATTGTTTAGAATTACATTTTGCTCTTAGTAGTCTGAATAAACCTTACCTATAGTTTACAATTAAACTTTAGCTTTAATGGATACAATAGGTCTGCTGGAATCCTAGAAAACAAAGTCTCTATGTTTGGCGCTGTGATATGACCTGTAGGATTTTACACACTCTTGTACTTTTTAGAGCTAACCTTCCTGGCAGGATTGTATCTAGTTGTGGCTCCCCACTGGCAAGGTTTCCCAATGTCTTTTCTGCAATTCCCCTCACCCCCTCAATTTTTATTATTTTATTATTTATTTATTTATTAGAAATCCCAGAACCAGAAGAGTTAAGTCTATTAATTATGCTAAGAGGCCTTAAAGTATTTGATTAAAGATTTCTCATTATAATAACCACCCATTTAGTCAGACTGATTCAAATAGCAACAGATCAAAAAAAAAATTTTTTTTTGTCAATTATAAATGATCATCCAAACATTTTAAAGTAAATACATATCAGAAAATACTCTTGAAAACACAGTTTTTTTAAATCATGAGAATTTAACAAAGACAATATACAGAACGCAAGGGATTACCTAACTGAAAGGCAAAATGTATATTTCCTTAGTCAGTCACCAAAAGGGAAATATAACCTTAAACACAGGAATTAGTGCATAAAATCATCTCATAACTTTTTTAAGAACTTTAACAAATTCAAAAGTTGGAACAAGAATAGAGCTTACTGAAGCTGGATAGATAATTGACAAAGTCACCAATTAAACCTAAAGTTCAGTGTTTCAATTTTTTAACAGCTTTCAAAATTGGAGATATTTTTATTTTTAGATATTTACTAGCATTTCTATGTATGCACACTTCAAAAACTTTTTGAACACAGGTATCAATTCTAACATCAGCATGTATTAGGTATTAATGTTAAAAACTTAAACAATGTTGTAATAGTATCTTTAAAATTATAGCCAATTATATGTAAAGCTTATAAGATTTATTCCTCAACTTTTCTTAAGACATTTTCTAAATAAAAGCATACCAACTTTAAAATATAATGCTTTAAACAATTTTTAACCATTTCTCCTAATTCATGGAAGCATATTTTAGCGTAAATCCACTTTAAAACCAGGAAAGAAAAGTTTTTTTTTTTTTTTTCAAACAACCTTCTTGTAGCTGATTTAGAATTTTTTTTTTTTTTTTTTTTTTTTTTT